GAATGATGCATTAAGGATTTATATGAATGTTTTTCAACCTTTTCAGATTGGTGACCCCTTATCGAAAAGAAAATATGTTCATGGCCTCCTTGATTATAAAAGTAAATAATATAACGTAACCATGATACACCTACAAAGCATGTGTGTATGCGCAGGTGTGTGTTTCAATGGGCTGACAGAGAATACTTGACCACAAAGGGTAAAGCTGCACAAGGAATGGAGGGAACGAGATTTTTCTTTGCTTTAGAGTGTAATAACATTTTCACAACCCCTTTTGTTGCCTTTCATGACCTCTGGCAGGCATCATGACCCAGCCACTGAGAGGCACTGATTTCTATGTTTCATTGGCCCAATACTGCAATTTGGAATTTTGGTTCACTGAACATAAAAGAGCCAACGTTTTGTTGATGTAATCATCGCAGACACTTCATTGGCCGGATCTGTCAATGGCAAACAAACACTTGTGGTTGTCTCTCTTTTGGAGTTGCGGTGACTCAGTGATTTTTTAAAAAAAAACTTTCCATTTGTTCAGCCACACGAAGTCTGTGATGGTGCCTGGTCACCTGAATTGTATTTTGTGGTATATTCAAAGGAATTAAAAAAACCAAAACAAAACCCCAGCAGCAAATCATCTCTCATTGGTGGCTTTACAGACCACAATCAATTTTCTTATCTGTGTACAGTGAAATCATGCCCCTCCCGCCCCCCCCCCCCCAGTTCAACATGTTCTCTATGGATGGGAGGTTATTTTGATGGAAGACTGTAACTAGAACTGCAGCGGACCCTTTCGGATGTGAAAGGTTGAAAACATCCTCCTCCTAGCCTGATGGATAGTGCACTGAACTGAAACTTTGAAGACCTTAGTTCTATTCCTGGGATTCTTCACTTTGAAGCTTTTTGGCTCTAAACCAGGTCTAAGCTCACTTCCTTAGACGTTTTAACTTCAAATACTTTTAAGTGAGAACTGCTAACCTCGGCTCCAGCTCTGACCTCCAACGCACAGATTGCGTCCCCCCACTGGCTACAATGGGAAGTGCAGGAGTTGATTCAAGGGGGTGTGCGCCTCTGACATTTACAAAAATAACACTACAAAGAGATTCTCTAGGGGAGGTCTAAGAAGGCTCAAGAAGAGTCAAAGGGATATGACAGAACAGCATAGGACTCGCTAAGTGGGTAGAAGGGACTATTTCATTACCTCAGGAACCTTGAAAAAACTCTTAGAACCATCAACACTTAGGTGAAGGAGAGTACACGTGTGGTTGGTATGTTATTCAAGAGCTATAATGTGGAGGCACCTGGAGACATGAATCAGGGTCATTGTACAAACACAGAGATCGACACGGCCTCTTGCCCCAAAAACGTAAGTTAGGGGATTCGAATGGAAGAGTAAATCTTTGGACATGACTAATAACGCTTAGTTACAAACGTAAGGCCCAAGTCTCATTCTCATGTGCCAGGAGACGGCATGACCCCGGAGACCTGGATTCTATTTCCAACTCCACCACGGACCTGCTGTGTGACCTTCAGCATTCTCACTTCAACTCCCAGAGTCTCTCCTTCCCCTCTTCCGCTTTGTCTGTCTTGTCAATTTAAACTAAAAGCCCCTCAAGGCAGGAACTGGTTCATTTTGTGCGGGCATCCATCCACATGCAGAATAGTTTCAGTGGAGATAGCATCCTGTGGATTTACTCTTTTGTAGCTCAGAGCAAAATCGGAGCCTCCCTATCTAACAGCAATACATCACTTGATTGCTCAAGTGGCTGTGGGGGTTCTCACAATAGAGGCTGCATGACTAGTAAGTAAATGTTGTTTCTTTGGGCTCGTGAAATATGAATACTGTGGCTGGACTGACTACTTCATTGATTTAGCCTTCCCCTTGCTGTCAGACAGGCAACAGAACATTGAACTATAATTCAGCCATTTGAGCCTATTTTCTGTGAGGCATTATTGATTGCATATGTAATTGGGTAGATTTAAGGTGGATGAGGAGTGAATTCGGAAAGATTGTTTTCCTCCTGCACTAGCGTGCACTAGTCTTTTAGAGCTCTGTAGATAGACAGACAGACACAAACCCCTTTTCTGCAGCAATCACGTAAGGGAGCTATAAAATTAATTTGCATGAGGGAGATTGTATTCTACCAGAGGTGAAAGAACACTGCTCCATACATTTGGGGATGTTTCACAGTAATGTGTTAAACCAGGAGGTGGGCTAAAATGGAGCAGCAGCATAGCCTGATGGATAGTGCACTGAACTGAGATTTTGAAGACCTTAGTTCTATTCCCAGCTCTGCCACAGGCCTGCTAGAAGACCTTGAAAGTGTCTTTCTGTGCCTCAGTTTCCCCACCTGTAAAATGTTGAAAAGATACTAACCTTTTTTGTAAAGCACTTGGGAATCCATTGATAAAAAGTTCAATACAAGAGTTAGGTATTATCACCATCCAGGACCGGTATTGCACTATATAGCATTCTTCCTCAGGATAAGGAATACACAGTACAAATACTCCTAGGCATATCATACCTGTTTCCGGGAGCTCTCTGAGGGACCAGTCTCTTTCTTATACTTTGGCAATGCATGTATAGCTTGCCTTGCCAATAATTCTTATTAAGATTTGTGTGCACGAGAGAAAGAGGAATTGAATCTTATAGCAGAAAGCAATTGTCAACCAGAAGGCTAAAGTAGCCCAATCCAAGCACCATAGAGGAAGGGAAAATATCCTTATTTGTCAATGCATTTTGTGTTTCTTAGAAACAAGTGATAGGGAAAAAACCCAGAAAACGACCCTATAATCATGTAAAGCTACGCTGCTGTCTTTTTCCTATGCTTATCTGTCCTTTCTACTTTGTTTATGGATAGAAAGAATGTGAACTGTGTGCAACCTGCACTCCCTGCTTTTGGGAAGAGAATTCCTTATACAGATAAGCCTCCATGCTCGTACCTACCCCAGAACTTCAAACCGACTGGGTTAACCGGTTCGAACTGGAAGAGATATCACAATGTATGTTGAACCAAGCTATAAAAGCTCATCCCTGTTCTTTGTTCGGGGCTTCACCATTTTCCTCTGAAAAGGAATTGGTGAGCCCTTCAGCTGTCGTATTTGCTAGCAATAAAGTGCCTCACTTTATCAAAGAGCCAAGACTCTGTGTTTTGTTTGGCTAATACAGAAGTCCAGGGAAGGCTACCCTCCTAACCCTAGACGGGAGGGGAACCCTTTTTCCCTAACAATTTGGGGGCTCGTCCGGGATCGCCTCTTCTCCGGAGCGGTGGACGGTCGGGACTCTGAATCCTTCTTGCCGGCACCCGGGTTGCTTTAACCCTGAAGGCTTCCCGTCTCGCTTCCACCCGCCGCTTCGGCGAAATAAGGCATCCCGAAGGCACTAGGGTCCGGACCTATTGGTGAACACTGGCCGGTGGGAACTTGGTGAGTTCTGAATTTTTCCTTTGTGATTGTCTAGACAACAGCCGGGGGTCCCGTCTTTGGGAAAAGATGGGGGGGGGGGGGTCCAGTAGAACTGTTGATCCTTCTACGCCTCTGGGCTATATGTTAAAACATTATGATAGGGATATCAAGGCCTTACAATCGGATGGCAACAAAGCTTTGTATAAGTTTATATTTTTGTGTCAAGGTCCCTGGGTGGGAATGACGCAAGACGACCCGGAACCAGGAAATCGCTGGCCGGGGGAAGGAACATTTGTGTTACATAACATTGTTCAATTACGAAAAGTATTGTATGATTTACAACCGCGGCAACTTAAGTATTCTGATGTATGGATAAGGGAGGCCGAACGGCGCAAAAGTGCCAGTGTAACTACTAGTTTACGTGCTGAGGTAGAAAAACTTAAAGTCATGCGGCCCCCACCATACAATCCAGAATCTAGTCATGCTGACCAGAAGCTAAAAACGTCAAAGTCTATTTATCCCCAACTCCCATTGAAAGAAGCGGGGGATCCTATACCATTGGAAGAATGTAGCTGGCTATGGGGTGGGGTACCGCAGCCTGACCCTGATGCACCCACGCCCCCAACCGGGGAAAGGAGCGGTCCCACTCTCCCACTAGCTACCGATACCCCCACAATTAACGCAGAGCGGGGGGGCGATCCGGAGGCTGGCACCTCTACCAGGGGGTTGACACGTCCTGATCCGCGACACCCCAGTGATGCAACCCCTGCAAAGACCCGGTCTCATGGTTCTCTAGGCACCCCTAAGGCAAAAGTTCTTGGAGCTGCAATAGCTAGTGCAGTCCAAATGCCTATGCGACAACTGCCGAGCGGTAGGGGGGGGACACAGATGGTGTATGTCCCTTTTACCAGCACGGATCTAATGAATTGGTCATCTACTTTTCCCTCATTTCGACAGTGTCCGGAAGAATTTATTAAAAAGTTAAAGGGTATTTTCACAATGTATAATTGTAATTATGACGATGTGGAAATGATTTTAAATCGAGTGCTAAGCGAGGGTGAGAAGGAAACGGTGTATAAGAAAGCTAGAGAGACGGTGCAAGGCAGGGCGGCTTATCCGCAAGAGAAACCTGAAATGGATTGGGATGTTCCAGAGACCGTTCAAGAGTGGGATAAAATGAGAAAGCGAATCTTAGAAGCATTAGAGGATATGTCTAAGCCTGTGTATGATTGGGGAAAGGTAGATGCATGTGTTCAAAAGCACGATGAGCACCCAGGGAATTCTTCCACCGCCTTTGTAAGGTTTTGAAAAACCACGGCGGCTTAGATCCAACCTCCCCTGTAGCGAAAACACAAGTGATCGGCCAGTATGTAAAAAATTTATTACCATTCGCTCGGAAGTATGTGTGTAGTCAACCAGCTTATGAAAACAAAACGCTGGAGGAGGTGGTGGGGTTAGCAGCCCATGCCTGGAGGAATAGGAAGGAATTAGACACTAGGAGGTCCGAAAAGCTCCTTAATCTGCAGTTGCAAGGTTTCCAAGACGGCTCTCGGGGACGGGATGCAAGCCGCAGGAGGGGAGGCTTTCGGGGATGAGGCGGAAGAGGAGGCAGCTCTACCCAGGGATGGGGACCACAAGGTCAGAACTTCCAGCCACGGCCCGGGAGGGCAGGGCCAGATGAGTGCCGGCGGTGCCGACAAAAAGGACACTGGGCTGCCCAGTGCCCAAATTACCCCCTCCAGCCAGCTGACCCTCTTATGCAAGCCTACCAGAGGGTACAGGAAAGGGGGGGAGAAAAAGGAAGTACTGATTGAAAGCTAGCCGCCCACAATGCTTCGTCCCCCTCGCCAGGAACCCCCTCCGCTTCTTGGACAGTGCAGTTGGATGTAAACCACCCGGAGCTTCCAGTTGTGGTGGGAGGAAAAACTTATTCAATGTTAATTGACACCGGGGCAGATAGAAGTACTCTACAGGACCCCACCCTTCCTACCACTTCTGCAACCGTAAAAGCTATAGGCGTTGGTGGCACCGTGTGCGCCCTTCCTCTAACTGCGGAGCAAACGGTCCAGCTTGGCCCGTTATCAGAGGATCATAGCTTTTTAATTGCAACTTCCTGTCCTGCAAATTTATTAGGTAGAGATCTGTTATGTAAACTACGAGCAACTATAACTTGCAGCCCGGAGGGGCTATATCTCTCAGTCCCTACTTCGGTCCCTGAAGCTACGGTAATGGCATTGTTAGCCACTACACCCACCGCCCCCTTTGTCCCTGCTGAGTTATCTGATATTCCTGAAGCATTGTGGGCCTCGGCGTCCACTGAAACTGGACTTTTAAAGTCAGCAGAACCGGTGTATATCAATTACCGTACAGATATCCCTCTGCCCCGAAAAATGCAATATCCATTGCCTAAAGAGGCCATAGAGGGCATTCGGCCAGTCCTACAACAGCTTTTAACTCAAGGAATCATTAAGGAGGCTACCAGCCCTTGCAATACACCTATTCTTCCTGTTAAGAAACCCAAGCCTGGCCCCGATGGCAAACCGGTTTACCTTTTCGTGCATGACCTCCGACTGATTAATGCTATTGTGATCCCGAGAGCTCCGGTTGTTCCCAATCCAGCAACTATTTTAACTGCTATTCCCCCAGGGGCTACTTATTTTACTGTGATTGATCTGTCTTCAGCATTTTTCAGCATCCCTGTGCACCCAGACTCACAGTTCCTATTTGCCTTTACCTTTGACGGATGTCAATACGTATGGACCCGCCTCCCTCAGGGCTACAGGGAGAGCCCTACCATCTTCAGCCAGTATTTAAAGCGAGATCTGGACTCTATTTCGTTGACTATGGGTTCTACTTTGATTCAATACGTTGATGATCTGTTATTGTGCTCTACAGCCAAGGCTGCCTATGTATAGGACACTCGAATCCTTCTTTTTGCATTGGCCGAAAAAGGTCACAAGGTGGCACTCTCCAAGCTACAGTTTGCCCAACCCGAGGTGGAATATTTGGGGCAACGTATTTCATATGCTTCTACTGCACTTACTCAGGACAGGATTGAAAGCGTTCTGAGTATGCCAAGGCCTACCACTAAAAAGCAACTCCGCCAGTTACTGGGAGCAAGTGGCTATTGTAGAGCCTGGATTCCGGCTTATGCGGAGTTAGTGCACCCCCTCACCGATTTGCTGCTGGATTCCGTTCCCGAACCCTTACCATGGACGACTCTACACAACAACGCCCTTACCGCCCTCAAACAAGCATTAACTTCTGCACCAGCCCTGGGCAGACCGGATTACGCAAAGCCTTTCACCTTATTTTGCCATGAACAATCTGGCACGGCGTCTGGTGTGCTAACTCAGCCCTTTGGGCCTGGCCAGCGACCGGTGGCTTATTTTTTGGTCCTTCTTGACGCAGTGGCTCAGGGTCTTCCGCCCTGTCTCCGCGCTGTTGCGGCTGCCGCTGTGTTGGTCGAGAAAGCTTCGGGGCTTACCTTGGGCCACCCTCTTCTAGTTCAAGTGCCTCATGCCGTTGCAGCACTTCTTAATCGTGGATCCACGCAGCACCTCACAGCAGCCAGACTGACCAGGTACGAATTGGCCTTGCTCGCCAATCAGGCTGTTACCCTACGCCGCTGCGAAGTCCTGAATCCTGCAACCCTTTTGCCTCTGCCTGAGGATGGGGAACCTCATAATTGCCTCCACGTGGTGGATTTGATCTCCACGCCTCGTCTTGACCTCTCTGATATTCCATTGCAGAATCCTGACCTCCAATTATTTTGTGATGGTTCCGCCTGTCGGGACGAGTTTGGGGCCTTACGAGTTGGCTATGCAATTGTTACCCTGATGGCAACGCTTGAAGCGCATGCCTTACCTACACAAAAGTCAGCGCAAGCAGCAGAACTCGTGGCGCTTGTTAGGGCCTGTCAATTAGCCGAAAACAAAACTGTGGCCATCTATACTGACTCCAAATATGCCTTTTCGGTATGCCACTCTACTGGACAACTTTGGAAGCATCGTGGGTTCCTTACCTCCAGTGGCTCTCAGATCTCCCATGTTGCCTTGATTTCTGCCCTGTTAGAGGCTATTCAACTTCCTGCAGCTGTTTCGGTTACACACTGTAAGGGCCACTCCCGCGCCTCGGACGAGGTTTCCAAGGGAAATGCTGCAGCCGATTCGGCGGCCCGTCATGCTGCCCTCTGTGGGGCTCCAGCCCCTTTTCCTTTTTTGGCACCCCTGCTACTGCAACCAGTGACGCCAGCCGTTTTGCTCTCTGCCCAGCAGACGACGCCCCCGGCCGAAGTTAGCCGTTGGAAATCCATTGGATGCCACCTAAATGAGGACAACCTCTACGTCAGACCGGACGGTCGTCCGGTTCTCCCAAGACGACTCCTCCCTCAGGTTTCCCAGGCACTCCACCTGGCCTCGCACCTGGGAAAGGGGGGATTAGTGGCTCAAATGGAGAAGTTGTTTTTTGCTCCGGGGGTCCATGCAGCTTCGAAGACCGTCACTGCACAGTGTGAATTGTGTCAACGGTACAATCACCAAGGAGCAGTCAAACCACAAGCTATGGGACATTGCAAACTGCCTGAGTACCCATTTGCTGTGGTCCAGATGGACTTCATGGACTTACCACCAGTGACAGGACTAAAACACTTGCTTGTCCTGGTTGATCTTTTTTCAGGGTGGGTTGAGGCTTTCCCCACTCGAAGGGCAGATGCAGTATCCGTAGCGAAGTGTCTCCTCAAGGAGATAGTGCCCCGCTTCGGGATAATGACTCGTTTGGAAAGTGACCAAGGCCCCCATGTCACTTCCCAAATTATTCAACACTTAGCAAAGGCCCTCGGCATAAAACAAGCCTTGCATACCCCCTATCATCCACAAAGTTCAGGAAAAGTAGAAAGGGTGAATGGGCTAATAAAAACCCAATTGGCAAAGCTATGCGAGCAGACTGGATTAAAGTGGCCTGAAGTGTTACCCATAGTGTTAACCAATCTTCGTAATACACCCCATAGGAAGCATTCGTTGACACCGTTCGAAATTCTATTTGGCCGACCCTTGCCGATTCCTCTAACCAGTGTAGACGGGTTTGCCCCAGCAAAAACTTCATTAATGGCTGGGCAAAATAAGTTGGCGGGTTATTGTCGCATGTTGCAAGATGCCTTGAGTGATGCATGGGCCAGAGTAAAAGATGCCCAACCTTTACCGCTTGATACTTGTGCGCACTCTCTTTTTCCAGGAGACTTTGTCTGTGTTAAAATCCATCGAAGGAAGCATTGCCTGGAACCAAGGTGGTCGGCCCCGGCCCAAGTCCTTCTGACTACTCCAACTGCAGTGAAGGTCGAGGGCATCAATAGATGGGTGCACTGCAGCCACTGTAAAAAGGTTCCTGCTCCAACATCCCCAACGACTCCCATCACGACCGCCGCTTCTACATGAACTGGGTACCGGTCAATCAGCGGAATCAAAAGCAGTTACAGAACTCTGGAGTATTAGTATACTGTTACAAATATTGTATTAATATTATTTTTTTTAGAGTTGTTAGTAGCTGGTAGTGTTTATAATGTATGTATGGCTATGGGCGTTAACCTGGACCTCTGCCCTGGGGGGGTTGGGATAAAAATACGTTTCTACAATTAGCCCAAAATTTAACCAACGCATGGAATGTTAGTGACTGTTGGGTGTGTTCCCACTTCTCTTCCCATTCACTGCAAGGGTTCCCCATTTTGCCGGTTCCAGCGCTCCTCAATTCTTGGCAAAATGGTTTGGCGTGGTACGGCCAAAAGGGAAAAAGGGGAAGGGGACCCATAGATTTTAGGACCTGGATCCCGAACCATCACCCAGACTTGCTCGTTAAGGCCCCCTTGTGCGTAGAAAAAAGGTCGCTACGCACCCGAGGCAAAACTACTCTGGGAAAATACCCGAAAACCCACTGTGAGAAAATTCTAATTTTGGGAAACAATGCAAGTACTACTCTTTTGCTGTATCCCAATGGTACTGAGGTAGCCAACTATGCCCGTGCTGGAGGCTATGTGGGGTACATTCTCAGAGAAAATGCGACTCAATTTGCCGGCCTTACATTATAGAAATGGGGGGGAATAGGACCCAATCCTGATGATGCTGCATCCCTGGTGTGACGATTGCAGGAAGTATCTCAGAACTCAGGGGGCAATAAAGGCAACTATAGTATAGTATTAGGAGATCATCACTTATGGTGGGTATGTGGCACTTGGGCAGGAAAGACCTTGCCCCCAAAGTGGTTGGGAAGATGCACAGTGGCCTTTGCCTGGCCAGGAGGGATGCATCGTAGAGACTTAATAGAAATCAGAGACACAACCCGACGAACCCGTCGAGATACCAGTTATAATCCTATTGTCGAGGAAGGCAGTACAGGCATGCGCACCTTCCGTATTCTTTTTCCGTGGGTGGGGGTGGGCCAACTTGAATACGCGCTAAAAAATATGTCAGCCGAAATGGAAATATTTACTAACGCCACTCGAGATGCAATCCAAGCTTTGCAAGAAGAAATAAGCTCACTAGCTCGCTACAGTATGCAAAACAGGTTGGCCCTGGATCAGCTTTTAAGTGCACAGGGAGGGGTGTGCACATTTCTCAATGCCACATGCTGCCTTTATGTAAATCAAAGTGGACGCATAGTCACAGATACTAACGTAATTGCAAACGTGTCAGCCTTCTTTCATAAGCAGGCCTCTATTTCTCCCAGTGTGGGCTTTGACTTGTGGGGCTGGCTCACCAGCTGGTTGCCTAACTTTGGATGGCTAAAAACCTTGTTTGTGTATGGAGTGGGATTCCTTATAATTGTGGGTCTGCTGTTCTGCTGTGCGTCCAGTTGTTGTGCCCTCTTCCACCGGGTATGTACCAAAACCATGAGCCCAGCAAAGATACTATATGTAAAGAAGGGTGGTGTTAACCAAGATGAAAAACATATGAACATGTTAAACAATAAATAATGAGCCATGTAAGATAATTATCTTCAGGCTCAAAGGGGGGAACTGATAGGGAAAAAACCCAGAAAACGACCCTATAATCATGTAAAGCTACGCTGCTGTCTTTTTCCTATGCTTATCTGTCCTTTCTACTTTGTTTATGGATAGAAAGAATGTGAACTGTGTGCAACCTGCACTCCCTGCTTTTGGGAAGAGAATTCCTTATACAGATAAGCCTCCATGCTCGTACCTACCCCAGAACTTCAAACCGACTGGGTTAACCGGTTCGAACTGGAAGAGATATCACAATGTATGTTGAACCAAGCTATAAAAGCTCATCCCTGTTCTTTGTTCGGGGCTTCACCATTTTCCTCTGAAAAGGAATTGGTGAGCCCTTCAGCTGTCGTATTTGCTAGCAATAAAGTGCCTCACTTTATCAAAGAGCCAAGACTCTGTGTTTTGTTTGGCTAATACAGAAGTCCAGGGAAGGCTACCCTCCTAACCCTAGACGGGAGGGGAACCCTTTTTCCCTAACACAAGTATACACAAAAAACTGCGTTTTCATGAGAATTAACCCCATAGCAAAAAAAGGAATAAGCTAAAAAGGATATAGAACATAGTAAATCAGTAAAAAATTCACCATATGACAAATCATCTGGTGCCCATTGTAATGTGTGAAAAAAATTACACTGTATGCAGTCTGCCATTGTCTAACTGAAGAAGAAGACGACGACGACAGAAAAAGGAGTGAGGATGCCAAGTCTGACCTTAAATCTGATTCAAAACTCCTATCAGTGTAGATCTGGAGTACCAGCACTGACTTTAGCTGAAGAACTGACTCTCACGTACTTGGCATCTGCAGTTCCATTAAGTTCAAAGATAAAGGGTGTTCAGCACCACTAACAGTTTCACAAACTTACTCATTTTTCTTAAACTAAAAAGCCAATTATGGTTTGAATTATAAGAGAAGGTTATGGCCAACATATCCCACATATGTGCTGATTAGAGACTGCCCACTTTGTCCCTCTTAGGAAGTTTAAGCTTGGCCTGCGTGGTTTGAGGTTACTGATAGGATATAGGAAGAAGTTTGCAATCACATTCTTTGCTACAACCAGGCTAGAGGAGCAGCAATATGTAGGTAAGCAACTTCATCAAGAGAGAGAGTATAAATGGCAGCAACCACCTGGAGAAAGCTTTAAGGCTCAGGCTCAAAAAATCTACTGTATGCTTTTTTATCCAATTAACTTTTAAACTAAAATAAAGACAAACTTACTCTTTTTTGGTAATGCTGGTTTACAAATTCTTGAGATAATTGTTTGCGGGCTGGGAGAGGAAAAACAAAAGGATGCCATGTTTTGTTAGGACTGGTAGTGAGCCAAAGAAACTTGTCTGATCTCAAATAAAGATCAAATTCAAACAATTAATACTCCAGTCACTCATTAGTTGTGATGGTTTATGTACAGTCAACAGTGTTTTTCAAGATTTCCTGATACGCATCTGTTCTTAAACCTCGGCTGTCAATCTCTGGTGTTAAAAGCTTTCAGATTCCATCTACATGAGAGGTGCATACAATATGTTTAAATTCACCTGATAGAGACTATAAACTATGCTTAGTTATTCAAAGAGCTTGTCTACCCCCTGGCTTAATTTAAAATCAGTTCAGATAAAGTGGTACAATGTGTGTGTAGACTCTCTAAGCTAGTTTTAAACTAATATATTATAGTTAAGCTTCTTACTGTAAATTTACCAATGAAAGCTAAAGTGATATAAACCAAGTTTAAACTGAAATGAGTGTCCATGCACAAAGTTGCACTGGTTTAATTGAAGTGCTTCAACCATTTGCCATTTTCACATAAAGGTCTGGATACTCCAATTTGTACTGCTTTTCCCCAAATCCCTTTGTTGAGATACACCTATTTAAATAAAATAAGCACTGATGCGCATAAACCACATTGCCTTTGGCTTGCCACTTCACCCAATCTCTTCTCAAGATTCAGAAAGCATTAGGGAAACTAACTCATGAATATATTTTCCCATTCAGAAATCTATCAGATTTAGAGGGAACTAGACTTTGAACAGTGACCACTACCCCAACCTTGCAATATTCCAGTGCAAAGAAGCTGAGCACCAGCCCTATAGAACAGTATCACATTCAGGTTACAGGGAACACAACAATAAAAACCTTCATCATACCATACAAAGGTCACCATCTCTTTGAGCGGCTTCAGCCAGAGTCAGCTCCTTCTTGCTACTCATGCCACACCCATCATCATCTTGCTATGCCCACAGCAAACGCATGCTTCTTGAAGTCACACACTCTCCCCACCAGGCGACCTTCATTGTAACTTAATCCCCAACACCTAGAACATTGCCAGACTGTTTGAAATGTTGTCTGTTCATAACGTCTACCAAAATGCTGCAAGGGATGTCAAATTTCTGTTCCACTATTTGATGGCAATGAAACAACAAAAGGAAAGATCCTCAGATAGCATCAATCAGCGTAGCTTTGTTGAACTAACTCAGTTGTAGAGCTGATCAGAGACCAGATTTTCCATCCCATGAAAATTGGAGATTTTCTAACAGTCACCCTGAATTGAGATGAAAAGCCAAACTTCTGATTCTTTTTCATAAATAAAACTCAAAAAAAAAAAAAACCCACAAAACCCAAAAGATTAGTCTGAGGTCAATCCAAACATTTGATTTTGACTCCAACTGTTTTTATATAAAATAAATGTTGAAGTGAAGTTGTTTTGAATAAAATCAAAATTATTCTTTCTGAAAATGTCAAAATGGGATGCTCTGACATTAACGAATTCCCATCTTTTCAAAACGAACATTTCATTGAAATTGCAACAATTTAGCAAACTAATTTGGTTTCACCAAAAGAACAGTTTTCCATTGGAAAATGCTTCGATGACAATTTTCCAACCAGCTTTACTCAACAGCACTAAGCTGATTTGCATCAGCTGAGGATCTGGCCTACAGCATTTCCATTGTTCAAGCAGTTATTCACTGTACAAATTCACAGCAAGATTTTGAATTATTCACTTAAGTAGCCTTTTAGTTTCTAACTTCCACATGATTACTCATTTTCCTGATAACGAAACGTGCAATCTAGGTCATCTAAAAAGTGCGGAGAAACACTGGTGTGCAAACTGGGACTGGGGCAAGTTGTGTCACGTTGCTAAAAATAGTAGCAGACTGTGTCAAGTTTTAAAATAAGCTACGCAACTTTGTGGTTTAGAGCAACTAAACTTTTCAAAGCCGAAAAAGAATTCAAGATCATGGGAACCGGTGGTTTTTAATAGCTCAGCACTCTTGACTGAGGAGCCCGATTGGTTGAGAAACGTTAACTAACTGAGCCTTTCATCACCCGTATTGGGTAGTGTAGGGATTCCATGGCAAAAAATTTCATGTCATCACCAGGAATAAAACTGGAGCCTCCTCTTCCAAAGAGGCAGGCAGATGCTATGTCATGTAAAGGTCAGTTGGCTGCCAGATCTCATTTGGCTGCAACAACTGTATGATTTATTGGCTTCTGTGGGCCATTCATTAGAGCCGATATCATCACACACACTTAACTTTGGCTGGCTGATCATAGGGTAGAAACCAAGAGTGCATATACTCCCTCACCAGAACATTATCTACTGTAAAGATTGTCATACCTAGTTTATAGACAAATGAAATGAGTCACAGAAAGATTAAGCAATTTGTCTAAAGCCACACAACTCCCCGCTGCCAGAAGGCAGCTCCGAGGTTCCAGTCTTGGCTCCAGTCCTACAACAGGACCTATATGTGCTGGCCCTTAAACCATCACAGAGACCCATCAACTTCAGTGGAAGCCTTTGCAGATGTTAAAGCCCACCTGCATTCTATTGCAGAATTGAGGCCCATTTAAGCATTAGACCATATTGCCTGATAATATTAAGTCAGTAACCTTTTCCATGACTGTGTAATACAGGCGAGGATTTTAGGAGACACTGAACGAGACAGTGTGTGTTTAAAGTCCGGGAGTTAGACAAGCACAAGGTGTGTCAGTGTCCAGCGCCCTTAATTTAAAAAGTCCCTTTGCATTCACTACATGAAAAGTCCCACCTCTTCTATATCACGAAGACTATTTTACAAAAGATGTAAACAATCCACTTGATGTGGTCCTTTGTGAGAAAAGCATGAAACATCAGAATTGTGAATGCTGGCAC